ATCCAAAAACTAAACAATTTTTTTATTATGGAAACAGGTAATAATGGAAGGAGTAGTCAAAATTTGGATTTGGATTTGATTTTTTGAGAAATGTTAAGTTCTCAAAAAAAAGGAGTTTTTTGTGAAAATAATTACACTTCACAGTGGCTCAAAACGGCGAAATTATTATCAAAAATCAATATATCATAGAGGAAAGCGTGATCTCCGGCCGCTTCGCAGAAATCTTCCTTCCGACTCTGTAAACAGCGTTTCGAGAAAAACTCGTTTAAAGTCGTCAATTCAAATAATTTTGTCTTGCTATGGATCAAAATCAAATTCGGAAAATCATTTTCAAATACCGAAACTTGTAAAAAAATTACTAATTCTTAAACAAGTTATTTATTAACAGAAAAATTAGCAAATTCATGTACATAAGTTCATCAATATGCAAGTACAATAAGTCCTCATCATTTAATATTGTTTTACAATTTCCCTTAAAACGTCATTTTGTCAGTTTTACTAGTTTAGTTACCAGTAAACTTTGAAAGTAAGTATATATTTTTTTTATTCTTAATTAGACATTCTAAAAATATAAATCGATATTATACACATATTATATACATACTTATACATCATTCATGTGAATGTCGTATGTATGTATTTTAGCATACTAGATTGGAAACTTAGAATAAAACATGATTACACTAATTTTAGGCCGTTTATTCAGCTAGTTAACAGGAGGAATACATCAAGACTCCCTAAATTTATATGTGTGCATTTGTTCAAATATGCTATAGCTATCTAAACGTAATTCAAATATGTATATTTACTTTCCAAACGTACGTATGTATATACACGTTCTTACATATGGATTATATATATTTTTGAAGAGGCTCACCCTATACCAACACATATATTTATTAAATTGCTGGAATATTATATTATCTCATTTTTACACCTATTTTATTATTTATGTTAGCATTTCTAACGTACAGCATCTAGGGCCGTTTCCTTAATGTCTGATTATCGAAGGAAGGAGTCTTGGTTAGGATAACCAGAACTTAATGACAGCTGGCTGCTAACCAGATATTGAGAAAACGGCCCTTATTATTCTATAGTTTTTTCAAGAAATAATTTAATAATAATTTACTTCATTCTCATATCAGTAAATATGTATGTATATAGTATTTATGTATAACAATATTCCTTATGTGTTGTGTATATATATTATACACTTACACCAGTATAAATGTTTAAGTTAATGTTTGGAACAAAATTTGCATTTTGAAACCTTGTATCTTTTATATTTTCAGCAAAAGGCTTAGGTGGATTTTTGCATTATTTCGTTTTTGTATTGTTTCGCGACCTCTAGTAAATCTAGTTAAAATAGGTTTAATAGTGTATAGCGTAAATCTTTATACATACGTTAAAATGGACGCGTAAGTTAATCTGAGAAGAACTTTTGCATGGCGGAAGTATTTTGCATTAATATACCAACTTTAATTGCAATATTAAGTAGCAGTAAATAAACAAATAAATTGATAAAATTTGTATTACTAAAATTTGTTAGAAAAACACTTTAAAATTGTTACATTTCAAAATAGGACTCATTGGAAGGATTTAAAGGAAGGCTTAGGTCAGATTTTCGCCGTTTTTGGAAGAATGCCTCCAGCAGCTGTGTGAGGCATAAAACTTGCTAAAATAATAATATGAATTTGGTATATCCAATTACGAGAACTAATTCCATATAAAGAAAGGAAAACTAAATTTCAATCAAGATCATCTAATATTTCATCGAATTCGAGTCGTAAAGAATTATTGATCGAAAATTTTTATGCGATCATTGATACTGTCGAAAACCTGCTTTACCGTACGTAAACTGTTTTATCAACATCGATGCGAAAAGAACAGGGTGTGTACACGATACATTTTTATCTGCGTTAGTTTTAATTGCTTGGACTCGCGTTAAATATCATGGTTAATGTAAATATGTACACTTCTTACCTCCTTTTCGAGTAGACTTAAAGTTACTGCGATGAGGAACCAACCCCTTTTCCAGATATTTATTTTGAATTGAATTGCAAAACTTAAAAACGGTCCAAACCAGTAAACGAACCGATAATAGAACCATATGATTTTTCCTACCATCTGTCGTTTCGTTCCATCTTTATGCAAATCCCTTAAATATGTATGTATGTACTTCAAATTTATTTTTGTTAGTGTGTTTTTATCTCTTGTTTCTAAAATAAACATTATTCCAAGGGTATCTTTAGCAATTCATATAAATTTTAAGAAATTACCCATTTTTCAAATTTCCGCAATGGTTACTTTGATCATGATCTATAACTTTCCGTTGGGTGAGTACCGATAGGTGGTTTAAGGGGAATGTTTAAATTTTCATTTATTTTGCTAACTGTTCTTTTCATTCACAATGTGTTTATATCAAACAGAAAGGAAATAATTTAATGGAACTTTCAGGCCACAACTTGGATACCATCTTATTGTTTTTGTAATTACTTGTCCGAATATAAGAGTAGATAGGTACATATGCATATGCGAAAAAATACATACATACATACATATTTTTGGCTCATTTTCTCAAATACCTCAACCTCAGAAGAAATTCATTGACTTCTTGCATTTATGTTGCTTTGTTATACTTCTAAGAATGATGGATGACAAATTATGTAAAATTATGAATAAATTATGAAACACACATAATGAGGGTGCGGTAGACGATTCTAAAGAAACTACCCATGAATGGGTGCTTAAGTTGACATACTCGTTGACATAACGGCAGTTACTCATGAAAAAAGCAAAAATACCGGCACGTGATTACACACATGCGCACTCATTTGTACGCACTCCTTTGTAGAGAATTTCGCTAATTGATGTATCGCTTTACAGGAACATGAACTCTAAGCGGAAAGGCTTTCAGAAAATGTCAAGTGATAAAAATAAAAAAGTCAATCCTTTTTTTTTAACACATTCCCATTTGAGTGTTTTCAATATTGAAAGAAAGCGTAAGAAATGCACAATTATTTGGTTAAGTGGCACTTTGTCACAGAGGTTGACATAAAGGAAATGGACCACGCTAACAATTATTGTTCAGCTCTTCGTTCATTTTTTTTTGGAAAGGTAATGAATAAAATTTTATTGTATTATAGAAGTATGTAATTAGAATGAAATGCCTAGAATAAATTTCTTATTTCATTATCTTTTGATTTGTTTCCAGACTTTGATTTGAATCTAAATTATCGTAGTTAAATTATCTTGGCTTCGTGCGTTCCTTTATTGAATCCTTTATTGAAGTCTTTTGCAGCTTAAATTCGCCGACGACGTATTTTTCGTAGATACTTATGGTTGGCTGTTTTTGGGTTTTGAATGCGGTAATAACCGATAATAACCTTGGGCAGTCCCAGAGTAAGACGGTTCTCTGGGAATGGTTGTGACAAAACAATTTTACAATGAGTGTTTTCATGGGCTGATTTGCATAAAACTTTCCACGAAGCGAAGCAAACATATGGTACGTCAGAATGACAGAGCTCGAGATCTCGTATGAATCCGTTCCAATAATTTTGATTGATATTTTGTACACTAATACAGATCATTAGAACTGCCAATTAGACATGGGTTCGTGTGTTTGACAACAAGTCAACAATCATCGGAATGGATTTAAAAAAAAGCCGAATGAAGATCAATTCATGGATTTTACGCCATGATAATGCATCATCACATCCAGCCACGTTTGTGACCGGGTTTAATAATAATTATCATCGATCAACCACCGTATTCACCAGATTTGGCTCCGTGGAGCCCGTTTTCAGTCGATCGAAGAGATAAAACTACATTCCCTGAAGAAGGTCGTCCCAGAAAGTGCTTATGAAAGTGGGGATTACTTTGAAAGCGACAAAATAAATATTAATGAATAATTCAATATTTTGCGTTTTATTTCTGATCTCCGGGTACGTTTTTGTCACGGTGCATTTCCATCCAATTAAAAAATAAAAAATACCAAAGAAAAAGTGATAAAACGGCATCAGCTGTTTAAAGATGAGTGTTCCTTTATTTTGCTTCGCCTCGAAAAATTTTTATGTAAAAGTTCGCAGTCAAAGTTGCATATGTATGTGTAATCCAGTTTTATGTGTTTTAGGCTGGGAAGATCCAGTGCTGAAGTGTATAAAACACTGGTGAGGCGTGTAAACATTTATAGAATGTATGAAAGAATATAAAACGCAAATGAAGTGTAAAAAAGAAGTTGACAATGTGTAGATACATATATGAAAACACAAAAAATATCAAATAGTAATAAATTCAAATGTAATTTCAAAAATCTAATAAATCGTGGCATAAAATTATACCTTGAGACGAAAATAGAATCTTTTATCTTTTTCATAATATAATTCGAAATAGTATTTATTTGTTTCGATAAGACTGACGCCTTTTCCGCATTTTATATCCTTACATACATACATATATGTATATTTATGTATAATAAAATAATCCTAGCAAAGCCCTTCTCAAAGCGTTTCTTCTTTAAATTGTACAATAATTTATTATATAAGTATGTATATTTAAATATGATATAGTCGCGTATATTACATTTAAAGTACCTTCAATAGTGTGGCAAGTATGTATATGCTTTAAAAAGCTCCTTAGTGTGGGCGTTTTTGAAAATTATGCAGTTGTATCTGCAATTATAACGTGGAATTATCTATTTTTTATACACAAACCAACGCGTCTTTGAATTTTACTATTTTTTAGTTCACAAACCTCTATGCATGTCTTAATTTTTTAATGAATAAATAAAATGCTGTCATTTCAAAGCTTATAAGTGCTTGATCCAGCCATTTGTATTCTTATGTACATATGTATACTCGTGCTCGGATACCTGATTTGTAAATACTTTTGTACATATGTACATATATCAAATATATATATATGCGTATTATGTGTTAACATTTCCATAGTATATGTATAAATAACTGTACAAACATGCATGCATTAAAGGCGCTTACATCTTAGCGAATGAAGTGCCACATAGCTGTTGGTTTGCGCGCGTTATTTATCATGTCGTGCCAGTGCTGGCACCCAGTACCAATCTCTTGTGGTCCGAGCCCGCAGCTGCCGATTTCCATGGCTTCTCCGCCAGAACCAACAACGTAAATCTGCAATAAGAAAATTTGTTTACCTCTTAACTTTAACGTATGTATGTAAATTAACTATATATTTGCGGTACTCACAACGTGTCATAAAGCATCGTAAAATCATAAAATCATAAATTTGTATACTAGTTTAAAAAATTTGTTGGTGGATTGCATACAATGAACGCTATGTTTTCGGATCGTTATAACTTATAACTTTATGAGACTATGTAAGTATGTGAAACCCCTAATTATATTTTGCAATGTTTTCAAGTGGTCTAATGCTTGTAATCAATGATTTCGAATAATAATAAAATTAAGGGGAAATTTTACTCAGATTTTATTAATAATATTCTTATTACTTTTAATCCTTAAAATTGCTCGGACGTTCTGCCTGAAATATGCTACATTTCGGAGAAGTTTGCCCTATACACTATACGTATATAGTAGTAACCGTTGACTTAACTTCAGAATTAGTATTCGATATCGCTCATTTTCACCCTATAAAGTTCGTTTTATGCAAAATTAAATATTTTGGCAAGCTATTACCAACCAACGCGGTTGTTGTTAAAATGTATTACTCTCAAATTTTGTTCGGTACCGGTTTCTCTTGTTGCATATCTTCATTTGTTTACGCCATTTTTCAAAGTCGTAGAAAATTTCGACTATCTTCGAACCAGTATTAACACAAACAACAATGTCAGCTTCGAAATCCAACGCATAATAACTCTTGCCAACAGGTGCTACTTCGGACTGAGTAGGCAATTGAGAAGTAAAGTAATCTCTCGACGAACAAAGACCAAACTCTATAAGTAACTCATTATTGCATTTCTGCTATATAGTGCAGAGGCATGGACGATGACAACAACTGATGAGTCGACATTACGAGTTTTCGAGAGAAAGGTTCTGCCAAAGATTTATGGTCCTTTGAGTATTGGCAACGGCAAGTGTCGCATTCGATGGAACGATAAGCTGTACGGGATACGCTGTCTAGGTCGTCTGAATGGACGAAAACACTCCAGCTCTGAAAGTATTCGACGCTGTACCCGCCGGGAGAAGCAGTCAAAGAGGAATACCTCCACCTGGCTCGATTGGAATCTCCAATAGGCGCCACATTGCGAAAAGAAAAACGACTAGCGCGCTATTATAAACGCTACTATAACCGCTTATGCGGTGTCTATGCCAATAAAGAAGAATAATAATATTAAAATATCTGAAAAGTGGAGAGATACTAACTATGGGTTCAATTCAAATAATCAAATAGTATTTGCACATGTTGGAGTAGCTATACGGACTTAAAAGACTTCTTGTTATTTACGAAGCCGTTAAAAATAATCGTCAAGTGAGGAAAGCTATTGTACTCTGTTTAAACAAGTCACCGATATGGTAACAATTTTAAGCTTTAATACCAGCAAATGTAAAGGAATATTATAATCGTGAAGAAGAATAAGAATGTCCCACTTATTTCGTTTTCGTTTAAAGAAAAATTGCGTTATCTGGAAGAACCTACATAAAGATTTACTTAGTGAAGATATAACTGAATATATGTATGCATATGTACATATATCATTTAAATATACTAACCTCTACCGCCGCATTATGCAGGTAGGCAGACTGCAGATTAAACGTAAATGCTTCGTTCCAGATGGGATTGGCGGGATCGTCAGATTTGCTAATGCTGGTCTTCTTCTTTTTTACGCGTTTACCGTTTTGAATTAAATAGATCTAAGAAACATATTAGAGAAGAAAGTGATTTGAGTCCATTTTCAACAAATGTGTTTTAAACACGCTCATACCTTTACATAGGGCTCTTGTATTGTATCCAAGTTCTTTGCTTTCATGATGACCACTGTCAGTCGTTCGGCCTGAGGCAAGTAGTTTAGTGAGCATAAGAGCTCCGGTCGATTCTCTTGTGGTTTCTTGACACGTAGTAAATCGCCCCATATCTGGAGAAATGAAGCAAATCTTACTAGTTTTTTTCTTGATAATTACTTCATATAAATTCACCTCTACAGATTTTGAAAGATCCAATTCATCAACAGAGATACGTACTTCACCGATTATATCATTGTGGGAATAGCGATCATAGTCGAGAACCTGGAGTTTGAGTTCTTTGCCTTGTAGTTGATCGCGTGAAACAGGGAATTTGAAATGTTGATCAAAGTAAGGGTTTGTTTCTCCACGATGTATGTGTGTTTGGCGTTTTCGATTGTCCACCTCAGGTTCAAGCATCAAACGTACGTATGGATCGCGAAAACCTCCCTCTTCAATCGGGCAAAGGTTGTGAGCTGAATCGGATAAACAATCGCAACTGTATTTATTTGTTTGAAACAATGTTTATGATAATAAAAAACCACCTTCAATCAGGTGCACGGTCAAATCGAAAAGATGATAGTCATATTTTACACGTAAATGCAATCGGCCCAAAGCTGGACTGGACTCAGGTGCTGTCAAATATATTGGACCATCTGGAACACGATATAGATCTGGCTGCAAAGCACCCAGCGGTGAAGCTGGCCCAATTGCGGGGTCAACTCCTGCAGGTGTTCGTGGCGGTATAAGTAGTGGAGAAAGGCAGCGACCGACTTTTGCTGAGTTCATGCTTATGTTCGTAACCACCGAACCACCGGCTATTGAGGCTAGGCTGCTCTGTGATGGACTGGGCGTACGCAAGTCACTGACGTCGGTGGATGCGGGGCTACCGCAACGGGCATCCAGTGAAATGGTGCGCATTGGACTTGGTGAGCGAGCCAACTATATTAACATATAAAACAGGTTTCAAAAATTTAACTGAGAGGAAATATAATTTAAAGTTACATGATGTGGAAAGCCGGGGTCGGCGGGTAGTGAGCTTCGACCATCGGGTCCGAATGTACGAATCTGCGGTGAAGAGCCGCGGTGTCCCTTGAAGAAATAGGGGAAAATTATTTGTATGATAAACGGTGAACCAGTGAGCAAAATATTACTTACTGAATGTCTAGATGGTGCGCTGTCAATACTCGACTGACTGGAAATAGATGGCGTGCGCTGTAGACGCGGTGGAAATGAACGACTCTGGTGATGCAAGTGCAATGGACTGTGGAGAACCTCCGCAGGGCCACGCAGCACGTCTGCATTTACTATATGCGCGGAATTACCAAAAGTCGATGGCGGCTGTATGGGTTGAGTCTCTTTGACTACGTTAACTTCCTAAAATAGAAGAACAAAAGTAAATAACATATTATTTGATTTTTAAGTTATATGAAAGAGTATGCAGTGTATTGAAACCTCAGAGTCCGTTGGCAAATCACAACTATCGCTGACGCTGCCCGCCCCACTGCCAATACCACTCGTGGTCGATGTTACTGACGAAGCGGACGGAGGTGGCGTCATTGGCGGTGGTGGTGGAGTGGATGACGCGGATGTCGTCGCACCGATATTATCTTCGGAATTGCGATCAAGAGTTACGCGACGCACGGCTCCGACACGCTCCCTGGCGATACGCGACCACGATTCAATACGTTTGTGGGTAAGCCAGCAAGCGGCGGGTCCGAGACCGCTCATTTTCTCGAATAGGCTGATGGCGGATATTTTTTGTAAGCAGTGAATCTTGAATTTCCACTATATGTAGCGCTTTTTGATACACTAGTTTACAGGCACGGCACACTTCCTTAAAATAGTCGCTCAAACTACTGCACTGAATTGTTCTTTGAAAATATACAAATCTCTATATCTGTAGATCATTCACTTTTCATTTCGATGCATAAAATGACTCTGTTTAATTTTATAGTATGTTGTAAAATTTCTTTGTTAGATCGGTCCATAAGTATATACTATATATTTTTAAATTTGGCTAACATTGATCCAGGGATTTTTTCAATACAAGTATAATTTGGTGCCTATTTTTGCAATTACTTATTGCCAATATACAACCGTAATGTACTAGTCTAATATATTTTTAGATATACTCTTACATATATGGCCCCATGAGTTTGATTGTCATTTGGCCGCAAGTTCGTTAAGTCTATGACCTGGTGAGGATGGGTTTAACGTCTAGAATGTGCTGTGAATATTCATTTTGACAGACATACACAGACTTTACGCTATGTATGAGCCACCCGGATAAAACTACATACATACATAGATACACGTAGACTGAAAACATTAATTAGCCTCATTCCGGAATAGTGGTTTTGCGTGCGAACACCTCAATATCAATCCCGTTGAGCTGAGTGTGATCGCCACGCGGAGTGCGGCAAAATGTTTGCGACATACGTCATTTGTGTGTCACATTGCAGGGATTAGCAGAGAATTACCGAAGGTAAATTTAAAGTCGACATTGCTGTACCTTGCTACACTCGCCGGAGTACACTAATTTTCAGCAAACATATGGACGCATAGACGACTGTTCACAGTTAGGTGTGCGGCCAACATAGATAACTGGACAACGTCGAGGGTGTGTTGGCTTCACTTACGTGGATTAATTAACAGCACTAACAGTACTTGGATTCGCATGACTTTATAGTGTGTGTGTTTACTATGAGTATGTCTCCATATTCAGCACCGAATTGGCATTAATTATTTCGGGCTCAAGTATAAAGGACCACTGCGCCACACATACCATGGTTGGTAATTATGTATACGTACATATATACTGTGTCCTTATGGAGGATATGAAGTGAAGAAATTACTAAGTTCATACATATACATACATAGTAAATTCGTTGCGGCATTAAAGATGTGCTTATAAATCTATGCAATTGGATTTAACCTATTTAAATAATTGAGTCGATTAAACCAAAGACCTAGTTCAGATTTCGATACATTCAAATTTTCTTAATCAAATCTTTGAATATTAAAATAAGCAGAATATCAAAAAAAAAATAAAGATATTAAAAGAAAAAGTTAACTTCGGTTGCATCGAAGCTATCATACCCTACACAAATGCAAAATATTCCGTACAAGAAGTTGGTCTGGATTAGTTATTTTGTATTTTATTATTTACTTCGGTGAATGCACCGTTGTTTTAAACTATACCCCGTGCTAAATTTGGTGAAGATATCTCGTTAAAGGAAAAAAGCTACTGCGTCGAACACTTTCAGAGCTGGAGTGTTTTCGTCCATTCGGACAATATGACCTAGCCAGCGTAGCCGCTGTCTTTTAATTCGCTGAACTATGTCAATGTCGTCGTATATCTCATACAGCATCGGCAAGATCAATTATCTTTTTGGGACGTATGCTTGGCGATCGTTCTATTTGAAGCCCTTACTTGTAAAAATATCTTTAATAAATAACAATGTAAAAAGAAATCAATGGAACATTGTCTTCTTAGGATTCAAACTTGAGAGTTAAAAGATCTTGGGTGGAATGATTTAAATGCCTCTTGTTTCGATCTAAATACTTTGTCTGAAATCAAGTACACATAAGTTATGAAAAAAAAAAACTATTTACAAACAAGCTTGCCACGGTGAGACCATTATATTACATACATATGTTATTATACCCTGAACAGGGTATATAAGTTTGTCACGAAGCTTGTAGCACCCAGAAGAAAGGGTCGGAGACCCTATAAAGTATATATATAAATGATCAGTATGTCGAGCTGAGTCGATTTAGCCATGTCCGTCTGTCTGTCTGTATATATACGAACTAGTCCCTCAGTTTTTATACTCTCGCAACAAAGTTGCTAAAGAGAGTATTATAAAGAGTAAATCGGCCCGCTGCCACGCCCACAAAATGGCGAAAACCACAAACCCATAAAGTGTCATAACTAAGCCATAAATATAGACATTAAAGTGAAATTTGGCACAAAGGATCGCATTAGGGAGGGGCATCTTTGGACGTAATTTTTTTTGGAAAAGTGGGGTGGCCCCGCCCCCTACTAAGTTTTTTGTACATATCTCGGAAATTACTATAGCTGTGCCAACAAAACTCTACAGAGTTGTTTCATTCAGGCACTTTCATATACAGTTCAAAAATGGAGGAAATCGGATAATAACCACGCCCACCTCCTATACAAAGGTTATGTTGAAAATCACTAAAAGTGCGTTAACCGACTAAAAAAAAAAACGTCAGAAACACTAAATTTTACGGAAGAAATATCAGAAAAAATATGCACCCAGGCTTTATTTAAAAATTGAAAATGGGCGTGGCGACGCCCACTTATGGACCAAAAACCATATCTCAGGAACTACTAGACCGATTTCAATGAAATTCGGTACATAATAGTTTCCTAACACCCTGTACGAAATATGGGTGCAATCGGTTCACAACCACGCCTTCTTCCAATATAACGCTATTTTGAATTCCATCTGATGCCTTCCTGTATAATATATACATTAGAAACCAATGATGATAGCGGAATAAAACTTTACACAAACACGGTATTTGATGCGAGAGTATAAAATGTTCGGTGACACCCGAACTTAGCCCTTTCTTACTTGTTAAGATATCGTTTTGAAATTTTGCAAAGGTCATTTTCTCTTCAAGAAGCTGCTCATTTGTCGGAACTGTCGATATCGGACCACTATAATATATAGCTTCCATACAAACTGAACGATCGGAATCAAGTTTTTCTATGGAAAACTTTAACATTTCACAATGTATCTTCTCAAAAGTTGGCACAGGTTATTACCTAAAGCAATAATGTAATCTCCGAAGAAATTGTTCAGATAGCGTATAGCTGACATTCAAACCGAACGATCCGAATCAAGGGTTTGTATGGAAATCTTTCGAATTTGACGTGGTGTCTTCACGAAATTTGACATGGATTACTGCGGGTGACAATATAATCTGCAAAAAAATTGTTCAGAACGAATTACTATTTCATATAGCTTCCATATAAACTGAACACATAGTTACTAACAGAAATGCACTTGTGAAGGTTATTTAGCTTCGGTGCGAAGTTAACATTTTTTCTTGTTATGTTATTTAGATAAGCTCTGAACTACTGAAAAATATGTGATAGCACATAAGAACGAGAAGAATGCAGAATAAGATGATCAAATACCGTTTACTTAAGCAATTACTTCCAATTGCCAGTTAAAAGTGGTTGACAATCAATTTTCATTTGATTTCCCCGTAGAGTTTTGAATTGAAGGAAATAAAAATTTCTATTGGAGAAAAAAAGTAAATCACAAATAAAATAACAGATGCAAAGAGAGGTAGTATGTACCAAAATACGCGCATACGAATGCATGCGTAAAACGCATAAAGTAACTTTTTAGTAGGGAGAGAGCTATACTCTTTTATCTAGCTATTTATATGAGTGTACATATGCATATGTACATATGTACTTGACAAAGGTGCTAAGTTGTTGCAATATATGTACATATATTGCAGCAAAGCAGAGTAGCAACAAACAAAAACCAAAAGCAATAACTGTCTATTCAGATTGCTACTTGTCGAAAGAGACACACACCACTCGATGATAAGGCTCTCCTTAATGTAATCGAGGGTTGGTTCGCTGCATCGGCGGTTGATCGTGCTCGAAACACCCGGCCCGCCGCGGCGCTGGCAATTTCCGTCTTTCACCCATTTTATGTTTTGGCTTGCCGACCATTCGTTCCACGTGCTTTTATACCTCACCTCATTTGCCACCAATTTGTCGTTTAGATTTAATTTATTTAATAGATGGTAAATTTCTTGTTGGTCTTTTTTGTAATCGCTCGTTTTCGAATTGTATTCTAGTGCGAGAATCATAGCTACACCAGATGTGGTGGTAGCTCGGCATGGGCTTGCTGTAGCTGGTATTTCGCAAGAGGCGTAACTGTTGCGAAATTAATTTTTATTTATAGGAAAAGTCTTMAAAAAAAAAAAACAAAAAAAAGGACAAATTTTCTATGCTTTTTCCATTTGTTAAATGTTTTGGAAACTGTTTACCTGAGTTTTCACAGACAATATGACAAGGCCATAAAGATGCACTTCAGGGAAAATAAATGAAATAGAAATTAATCCAAAATATCTAATACTCTTGCACCCTAGAATCGTTTTTCAATTATATACTTATATATTCTTGAAGTGCGTTGAATATTGCATTGAAATCAGGGTTCGTTGAATTTTGTTGATTTTGTTGAATCGAACGGATTGGATTGATTTTTTGATTACTTCCCGATTACACCACAAGTAAAAACAGGTAAATTGTTAATTTGGATAAACATTTTCGACAAATTTTCTATAATATAGAATGTATAATATGCTAGTCCCACTAA